TGTTAAACACAAACCTGTACAATGGACTATCTGTAATCCACCACTGTAATCCTTTATTGAATGGTCCGAAGAAGTCAGAACTGCTTGATGTAAGTGCCATCTTCTTTTTGATGAACCCATCTTGAAACTTCCTTCTGTACCAGTTTTCACAGTTGGCTCTGTAAAATTTGTCATTGTTCGCTGTAACAGTGTTGTTCTCAGGTTCTCATATATACAAGTTATATAGTTACTGTTGAGTTGCATGCAGTATCTTTCTTGCCCTGGATTACCTAGAAGCTAAGCAATATATTAATTGTACTGTCTACACGGAGGTGCCTAGCCCTTTCAAGTCATGGAATTGCTTAATGCCTGTTTTGATATTCAAATACAACTAGCCCATTTCTTTCTATCATCTTTCGTAACCCACCTTTTCTGGATTCCATGCAATTTTGGTACCAGGGGGTTTGGTTTGTTTGGAATTTCGCGCAAAACTACACGGCAAAACGCTAGCCGCCCCAAATTTAGCAATGCAAGACTATGGAAAAAGCAGCTAGTCATCACCATCCAAAGCCAACTGTTGGGCTACTCTTTTACCAACGAATAGTGGGATTGACCATCACATTATAACACCCCCACGGTTGAAAGGGCGAGCACGTTTGGTGGGACGGAGACTCGAACCCACGACCCTCAGATTGCGAGTCGAGCGCTCTAACCACCTGACCACCGTACCTCCTCCTTATACATTGATAGGGGGGGGGAGGAAGTAGTTGTCCTTACCAGGCTCTGCATTTACTATAATGCACATTATTTTTCTTGCACTTAAACTTATGGTGTCCCTTTAAAATTATACAACAATATTGTATATATTTGATTTTGATTTTATACAGTTTTCTTTTAATTTTGTTTATTTTGTACAATAATTCTAGATTGCACGGTTCACACATTCAATACACATGTATAAACTTATTTAGTCTCAGGAAATAACGAATCTGGAATGATATTTTGGGTTAGTTTCACTTTCTTTATTATAAAATAATGGTATTCACTTAAAGAGCCTGATGATGATAAAATAGTAGTTGACAATTCACTGGGCTCTACAGTAGCACAGCGGTATGTCTGCGGACTAACAACGCTAGAAACCGGGTTTCGATACCTGTGGTTGGCAGAGAACGTGTATCCCTGGCTCGCTACAGGTTTTAACAAGGACGCACACTCTCACACAATCTCATATGTCTGTATGTAAGAGCTATATAACCTAGACTCCAACAAAGAAACTGCACATTGTCACCAAAAGAACAAGTGTAAGAGAAAGCAGAAGAATCATAGATAAATGATAAAAACTGACAAAGATTTATCGGTGACTTACGACCTTACCTGTCAGAATAGTGTTATGTTAATGTAGGTAACAGTATTTTGATTGATAATATCCTGGGTTGAAATTACTTTACATCTAATAAATATAGCTTTTTATCAATAAGTAATGAATTATTTTACTTAATTACATTTGAGCCATTATAATATTTTGCCGTCGCCTATCATACTCTTTAAACCTAACTGGGAATACCTGATGTCTGTCGTTGAAGACAATTTTCAGAACATTCAAAACTTTATCATTTAATAAAAAAAACTTTTTTGGGAACGAAAATATTGCCTAACGAGACTATAAATAGAGAGATTCTAGTTTGTTTTTTTCTTCCCACTAAATTCTACATCTAATTACTTTCCCATGAAACCACAAATTATTTCTCAAGTTATTTACTTCATTCACTTTACATTTACGTAAATAGCTTACAATCTTCTCTATCTACTGGTATTAAAAGTTTGCCCCTAACTATTTTGAAAGCTGAATTTCTTTGATAATTGTTCAATCAGTTACTGTGTGTTCATAAAAAAAGGTGACAACTGAAAGGCTGTATTAATAAAATACAAAGAAAGAAAAGGTGAATCACATGAGAAACAGAAACTTGATTAATTGTATTCTCAAAGAATGATAGTTTCCTAGCATCAAAGATTTTGCTATTATGAGGAAAACAAATGTTTTAAAAATTCAGTAAGTGTGTTATTTAAAGGCAAGACTCATCAGAGCTATGCAGAAATGTAAGATTGAACTTTTGTCTCATTTGTTTTCGCGAATTACAATGAATAATTTCAGAGAATGACAAAATATCAATTCCAAAATATATTCGAGTAAACAATTGTTGTCATTAGCTAAAATTATTATTACTTGTACTTAGATTTTTAAATCTGATATGCTGTTGTTCTTTGTTATTAAGCACAAAGCTACACAAAGGGATTTCTGTGCTCTGACCACAACGGATATCAAAACCCGGTTTCAAGCAGTATATGTCCGCAGACGTACCACTGTGCCACTGGGGAACAAATCTGATATGCAGGTGGGCATTCAACATCTGAAAGGTAGTCATCAGCCCGATAGTGTTGAAGTCAACATCTGATAGGTACTCATCAGTCTGATTGTGTTGAAGTCAAGTGCACATTTTGATAGATCTCCTGAAAGTTTACTCTTTTTGAGAAAACATTGTATGCATATGTTGTACTTAAAGTTATTATGTAGATTCTAATCGTACGTAGATATATAGTTACTTATGAAAAAGTTTTTAGTATTTAGAGTGTCCCTGTCTTATGTTCTTTTAGATAAAGTAAATTGCGTTTCCGGTGTGTTCGTGAAGAATTGATAAATATAGTTGTCTGAACTGTATGAATATGTATAACGAGAGATAAAAAATATTCCGTAAAAATAAATAAAATTTGAAGAAAAGAAAGGAATGTAATATATTTACTTTAAAATGACGTGTTAAGCTTTTAAAAAAATTTTTCCTACCTTCAGAATTTTGAAACACAACAGTATTAAAAATTCAAATTAATTAAAATTTTATTTTTAAAGCCCATATGCAATGCACCATAATTACCTTACTGAGCTGTTATATATATATATAGCTAAACAGTTTCAAATAAATCAACCCTTTATTTACCTAGTTTATCTGGGTATCCTTTTTTCAGCATTGTTTAAGACCCTTGCACAGTGCATTTAATAAGTTGCTTTTATCTGCATGAAATTATTTAACTGTTCCATTGTTTTCTTTTTTAATATAAAATGACTTCGAATGACATTTATTTGTTTGACATGAAGAAAACATTCGCGGTGGATCATGACGGATGGAAACAGCTGTACGTCACAGAAAGTGTTTTAATTTTATCATGGAAAGAGTTGATGCACATTTTTATCTCATTGCTCTAGTAGTCGTTTATAATTAATCACATGTATGTCCATCTAAGCAGCTATAAACACGAACTATTTGTAGATGAACAATTCAACTATTGAAATACCCGAAGCTTTAATAGAAATTTGTTATTATATTTTGTTAAAATCTATATGTAATCATTCTTGTGTTTATGCCCTTAGCTTCTAATGCTAACTTCGTGTTTTTAATTAGAAGCACAATTTGAATAAGTACTCACTAATGTTACGTATTAGAATTTCAAATAGCCTGAAATTGAGATAAATGATATTTTAATTCTAGTAGTTAAATTGTGCTTTGGATTTAGTATTTAAATAAATGCCGATATATAGTCAGTTTATGGTATTTGCCAACAAGATTGATACACAGTTTTCTTTTTTAACATAAATACGTTTTAATATACATACAACAGTATAATTTACAATAACAATCAATTATTACAAATAGTTATTACAAACAATGATTTATAAACAAACGTTTCACAACTTACAAGCAGTATAAAGTTTTCCTTTTAATCTGGAACTTCTTCGATATCTTATCGAGTGTTCACGATGAGCGAGTTGATTACGAGTTGACGTACATATAAATCAATTAACAGGAAGCTAGCTAGCTTTGTTCTTCTTTATTTGCCGGCCATATACGGTGAGTCTTTGTTCTTCGTTATTCACCAGTCACGCGCGTCTTCCGCGGTGAACTTATATAACGTTTTCGTAAAAGATACTAATTTCCGATGAGAATCCACTGACGTTAAATGATTTGTAATGTTCGAACTTTGTAAATGCTCCTGGTCAAATATCTTAAGTTTTCCGATTGATAAGTGTTATTAGAATCACAGTTATAACTTCCAAAGTTTGTAGCACACTGACTGTAACAAACTAATAATAGATACTCTTTTGGCGTGTCGCTTTGGTTATATTTATACCCGTATGGAGGCGTTCTAGAAATTTCAGTTTTACGTAACAATACTGAGCTACATTTAAGCCTTTACATATATTGTTAATTCTTACTCTCGAGAATCTTCTACAACTATGGAAAATAGGCAGGAGTTTCACAATACATATTTAACAGTATAAGCTATGTATGTTTCTAAATATACATTTATTCTAAACAAACACTGATATTAAAATAAATATATAATAACAAATTCGTTACGCTACATGCTTGGTTACCTATGATAAAAATAATGGAAAGTGTAAAACTATTGATTTCTATTCAAGCATAATGTAGGTTTTTACATGCATTAAAATATTTCTTATACTTCATAATATTTGTGTATAGATATAAATATATGATGAACTTGAGAAGTATATTTAACTATTTCGCATCAAGAGGATTTGAAGTTTTCTAAAATTTGTTTGATCCGCTGGAATACAAGAAGTTAAATTGGGATTTATCCTTATGTGTTATTGTCGTAAACAATACATTACCTGGCGGGCAGAAAAATTTAATTATATACTACGTTCATCCTACGTTTAGGTTCCTAATCTACTACAAATGTAAGTTTTAACCTTGATATTACTGGAAATCTGAGGTATTTGACAACCTAGTTCTCCAAGGTTAACTATTCCCACTTGTTCAAATGACAAACATACCATGCTTCTTATCCTAGCTCGGTGAAGTATGACTTATAATGGTCTTGTCCCAATGAGACATATGCACATGTGTGTATTTGAATGAATGAGCCAGGGACACGCCTATAATTTTCACTTTCCTTTTGTTGAATTAAAACAACACACCAGTATTACTCAAGACTTTACATTAGAAGTGAGCTTTGAGTTAAAACAACACACGAGTATTACTCACGACTTTATATCGCAAGTGAAACCACACAACTTTCAAGTGATGGAACTTCATTTACGAATGGTAAGGATGGTAAGTAGATATATATATATGGTATACTAAAAACTTGATCCCATTGAGAAATGAGATATTTCACACAACTGCATCGAATCTTATTCTATTATGGGGCCAGACTTTCGGGACTTCCTATATAATTGTACAAATTAAGTGTTTTTTGTAATATCTTTCTCCCTCATCATTTAGAAATATAAAAACAACTTTAAATTCTGGTGTAGTAAACTATAAAGTATAAACACTATCATGTGTTATATATAAACGATGAAAATAATTTTCTTACCATATAGAAAATCAACTCTTCTAATTAACTGTATTTTATTAGATTGTGTAGGAATCATCTGAAAATTAAAGAGTGACATCTATATTGCAACATATGAAATAATATTATTTTAGGAAACAAATTAGTAGTCAAACTTTCGTCTTTAGACCCTTTAACTCAAACTGTAAAGAAAAAATCAGCAAAATTATGGCATACATTAACACGTACTTTGTGTTATTTAAAGTAAAATGAAATATTGATTTGCACAATACAAGGCTTTGTTACTATCAACACAAAAAATACAAAAATGGGAAATGATTGTATATCTGAGAAACTTATTAATAAATTTAATTTTACAGTATTTGAAAAACAATTTTAATGACCCATTTAAGTGTGTAGCTTTGTATATTCACTTGATATACAAAATAAACTGTACGAGATAAAGGACTAGAGTAACAATTCTCTAAATTTAACGCAATATTTTAATGAAAGAATATAACTAGACATTGTAAGAAATATATGTATATTTACTTTGTCGAGAAAGCTGAGACTCATCTCATTCGCTGTGTAAAACTGGTGTCTTTAAATATTGTTTTGTCATGACAGTTTTGTTTTTTACTTTGAAGCTCTAGCTATTCTGGAGTAGACTATGTTTTCAGCTTACTGAGTTAAAATTTATCTCACATTTGTATTTAGAGAAATATACATGTTTGCGTAAAAGCTATGTTATTATCACTAAAGTTCACACCATTCATGATATTTCAAAAATAAAAAACAAAAAAGTAATAATATCATTTTATAAGTCTTTGCTTAGAGACGCTCGTTGTAGGTTCCAAAATTTCATAGCAGTTATTTATCAAAATGGTGCCATCTCAAAGATTTTTGGAGTAAATAGTGTGAAAAAGCGTTAAAATATGCCCCATTTTATTGGAATTTCACTTATTCTTTGTTAACTTAAAATGTCAGCAGATTAAATAAAATAAGCAGAAATCCATGTTTAACGTCCAAGTTCCATGTTTCATCGAAAAATAAGAACTGTTTACTATACACACACACACAATATATATATGTATGTATAAAAAATAAATATAATTGCATATTTCGTCACAAATGTCAATTTTCAACATTATTACTTTTATGTTTAGCAAACATTAATTGTTTTACTTGAAAATAACTATTAGCTATTCTGTATTATTTACGCAAATTTCTGTTTTCTTAATTTATTATAACAATTATTGCTTCATCGTTTCCAAATAAATAATGTATGTTTCTTTAACAAAACAGTTTTTTGCTCTTTTTTTAACAAATAATGTTAACTTTACATCAATATATCCAGTAGTTCTATGAAATTAAATAATTTTTGTATGTAAAAATGAATATTAATCGTTTCTTTGAAATAAAATATTATTACTAGGGAAACATGTATGATAATACATCGTAATAAGACTGACAAAATGTGTTTTAAAATTATGATCAGGATTATTTGATGTTGTATTGCACCTGTTATACTAAAGTACCATGTTTCACTAGGTTAGGTGTTTAGGTGTTATTCACTCAAATATCATTAATAACAAAACTAAAACTTATATTTGACATTTTGACAATATCTTATTTATAAGTATGACATAAAATATCAAGTCTTAAAAAATAATAGCGATTGTGTGTTTTAAAAAATATATATATTTCTTTATTATGGAGTTGGCTCCAAAGAAAATTAATTTTTAGAAGTATTGTACATTTCTATGCTAATATGTAACTACTCTCTCTTTAAAACAAATCATTTCTAGAAAATTATAGAAACAAATGCATAATTACGTAGGAGTGTCATGTATTTGTTTTTAAAAAGAGAATTACCAATTAAAAATATCCTAGAGTCTGCTTGCTTCAAGGTTTAGAGGTTATTAAATCATTCCAGAGTGGAACCGGAAATGTTTTCTCTATTTTTATATTTCCTTTCCTGTTGTGGGAGTGCTAGTAGATGACGTAAATAGTTTGGTCCCGGATGGATTATTTGTACATTGAAGTTTTCCCTCCTCGCCTTGTTATCCTGTTTCCTTGTGTGTGCTAAAAACTTTTCACTGCTGTTTCAGTGAGAGTTACTCTTAATATGAGTCACATCATTCTTTAACAATAAACACATCTTGTTACGGTAATGTAGATTTTCTACTTTGAAAAGCTTTTTAATTAATGCTAACCTCACCTTATTAACTTTACAATTGAAACATTATTTGAATATTGTACCTTAATTAAAAAAAAACTAATTTGTTTTGGAATGGTGGGTGTGGCGCGCATTATTTTCAACAGTGTTTTCTTAGCGTTATATGAGGTCATGCGTAAGGCAAAGAATTAATATTATGAAGTAATCAGGTTAATGAAAGGAAATGATTTTTTCCATTGCATATAAGTAACTGGCTCTGTTAATATGTAAATCTTAAAATGCTGTAAGTACCATTTTACATAATATTTTTTATTACAGGAAATGTCTTTTTCTCCGTTTAAAATTCTCCAAAAAAAAATAGAAAAATTTAATGTCCTAAGGAAACCAAAGAAAATTATGTTTATTCAATCAAAAGTACAAAAGCTGCGGCATAAGTAAACTAATAACTTCGTAAAAACGATATATCTTATTTCACATTCAAAATATTCTTTATCATTTAATGTATGAAAACAAATTTATGCAATTTTTTTAATATCAAAAACTAACCCTTCCTTAAAATCCTTACATCTTATATCGGTTACAAAATCTATATGACTCTCGGTTATGCTTTTATGCAAAACCAATTAAACAGTTGTTATAGAGAACCTCAAAACTATTCTTAGAAATTTTACAGTAAAGCAAGACTGTGTTTTTTAGTGTTAATTATCACTTTTAAGGCCAGCTATTGCTCAGCTCTGTAATCTAAAAGTTTATCTTTGTTCTTGTAATGAGGACTCTGGCAATCAATCAGACATCCGTTTTTTACAATAATTCTTAATAATCTATCGCTAAAAATCGGAGTTAATAAAAGACGAAAGTTCAACACTTATGGACGAGGAGCAATAAAACTTCATTCACTAAAACAACATGATGAGAAAAGACAAACATGAAACAATTATTATATAACTCTGAAGAAATAATCAATATTAAAAAGATAACACTTCTATTGAATTTCCACCAATTTATCTGGATTTATTTTACAATAATATTAAACTGGAACTCAACCAAGTAAACCTTTCATTGATAACATAAATATATTAAAGAAATAAAGCCAATGTTTAATAGTACATAGTAAACATTAAAAAATGAGAATGTCCTCAGTCTCAAAACACAGTATAACATTATTTGTTTTACTTGATATTGTACTGTATAAAGTATTGTGTAAAAATACCGTCAGACAGGGAACAGTGTCATACACTCTACCTTTATTGTGCGGGAAGTTAATAGACAGACTTGAGTTATAAATATATATATATATACCATTTATTACTTGAGAATTTCGTAAGGTGAAGTTATGTAAGCCTTTTAGTTTTAAATAGTATCATGTGCACTATGTTAGTTAAAATCTTTAGGCTCTCATTAAAAAAGTAATATAGCATAATTATATCTATTATGTACACTCACGAACACTTGCATTGTTTGAATCTATATTGGTACTGTGAATGAATGAATATATATGGTTAAACGAAAACCCTGATCAATAGGAAGAAAGTTTTAGATTTTTTTTTCTTTTTGTTCTTGAAACGTTTTTTTAAAACCATTTTAACTTCTTTGACTGTGATTAATTTCAATTGGTCCACACTAAATAAGAGCTTAAGGAAACGTTTTTATAATTTGCAGGCTGTACTATTAAGTGTGAGAAAATAAGTTAACAGCCAAATAAATATATGCATGTTTTTTGTTTTTTTTTGTGTAGATCATTGTGCTTCTATCAGCAGGACTGATTTCTGTAACATGTGAGCCAGAACCAGTTGATAATAATAACGAATCTTCTCATTCGGAGCTAGAAAAACAGGTACCAGCTGCTATACAACTGTCATATGACACAGGAGAGGGCAACGATCGTGCATTTCGACACGAAGAACGTATCCCTGACGGTGGAGTGAAGGGTTCCTACGGATATCATGATGAAAATGGAAATCTTGTTGTACGTCACTATATTGCAGACAAAAATGGCTATCGTATAGTTAAAGAAGAACGCCATCCTTTATCGAGTAGAAAAGAAACTGAATTCAGCGATAAGTTTGAAAGAAACGACCAAATATACGAATCAAATACAGCAAATTATAGCAGCATCTTTTACGGAAGTGACTTACATGACACACCGGAATCGACAAATCAACGAAATGATTTACACAACGCAAACCACTCACCAGATTCTACAAATTTTCGATATGATTTAAACGACAGAAAGCTCTCTCGTAATACACCCGAAGTCACAAATTCTCGCAACGACTTCTATGATAAAAAGTTGCCACCAACCATACCGGTTTCAATAAACAAAGAAGCTTCAAGTTTTCACGATAACACCCAGTTATACGATGGTTATTATCCGATTCAACAAGAGCCTAGACCTCGTGACGAACTTCATGATCAACTGAGTCGACGTTTGAATAACGACGGGAAATTTCAAAGTCCCGACTACAATAGGGGTGGAGATATATTTAACGATGGTTATTATCCGATTCAACAAGAGCCTAGACCTCGTGACGAACTTCATGATCAACTGAGTCGACGTTTGAATAACGACGGGAAATTTCAAAGTCCCGACTACAATAGGGGTGG